CTATGGCACGCGCGTGTGATGATGGTTTTGGGTTTGTCTATAACTCCTCCTCCTACAAAACTTGGGTACCCCTTGGGGCCCAACCCAAGGTCTCCAACTTAGAGCTTATAAACTCAATGAAACTCTTCTAAGTTTCCTATGTGGGACAAGGTTTTGGATACCAACTCAAAGGAACCACACAAAACATTTTTCATGTTTATGAGGCTCACTTCGGTATCAATTTCTCATTCACTTGTAAATGGTTTCGACCACCCGAGTATGTATTCTTGTTTACCACATGGCAAGGAACGTATTGCCACTCGGACCCACCCAAACCGAGGTGTGGGACCTACATTAATTAAAGCTCAAAATTACCGGAAATTAATGGTGAAAATACCATTTCTCTAACATCAGGTTGGTGTGGGCTTCGAACTTATCAATTTATGTTTGATTTGTTAGGCATTGGCTTTCCACTTTATAACTAACCCCCTCTATATCGTTTGCTTCTTGTTTTTTTCCCATTTTTCTTTGTTCTTTTGGATCTCTCTTGCAGAAACTATTAAATACATTTATTAATTTGTTTTTCTATATTCGTGGACAAATGATTCTACACAAGATACAAAGTTTACAATACATATGTATAATGAGTATTAAAAAATAAAGCTGGTGAATTTAGAAGTTTGTACTCTCTCTCACATACACATAAACATTGATATTGTAACAACAAACCTCAATTTAAATGTTAAAGTCGGGCTGAATATTTTGACATTCAAGTCATGACATTTAGGCATCATTTGAATCTAACTTCTTCTTTTTTTTCTTTGAATCTAGCTTCTTCAAGTTTTTTTAAATCCTTTTATTTCTTGAGGTGGCAAGGCAACAAGCCGAACAAATCAAGTGATAATTTGTTTAAATTTTACTTGTTTACTTTTTAAGTCGAACTCAAATAAGTTTTAATCGAGCTAAATGTGATTAATTTGATTTTTATAATACTTATAATCGAATCAAGTTGACTGGGAAGTTGTTTAAACTTGCTTTAAAATTTTAATAAATTTTAAAATGAAAAATATTTGAGATCTATAAAAAAAATTCTCACAATTATACTGAGGTAGTATAATAAGTGTCAACTTTTAATTAATTACACATCTAATAATATAAGACCTACTTTCTATACCCTATCATTATAAAAAAATTTATGAATCTAAAATATAGATCTTTAACATTACTCATTTTAAGTATGTTTACACTTTGCTTACTTTCATAAGCAATGCAGCGGAGCATGAGCTAATCCTAATTTTGAGAGAGTTGATTGAGCCCGGCCCGTTATGGATGATATTGCGGACAATCTTTATATCTCCAAGCCCATTAAGGCTTCAAAAAGTTGAAACTTTTAACTTCTTTTAAATCATATCACTTCTTAATTTTTTATATAACTTTAAAAAAAATAAAATAAAATAAATTTTTAACCTACTTTTTAAAACAATCTTAAATATCCAAACCCTGAAAATAAAATACCCCGAAAATAAAAAAACATTATCCATTAGTTTTTTGTATGGCTATATTTCAGTAGAAGTTACGTCAAGCAGTTAGATGAGATATTATCTTATACTGCGGAATGCTATGCCAATAGTGTTTTCAACCAATAGTGACGGTGTGATGATTATATTTGAACACCAATCACCTACGCTACTTTATGTCACCCTAATCACATGCAGGCCCGACCTTCAGATTTTCGAGACTCAAAATCAATAATTAACTAATAAATTTTTTAGGCCTTTCACATTTTCTTTTCATTGAATGAAAAAAAATGAAGATAAAAAATAAAAAATTTGTGTCAAAATCACAAAAAATACTTAGTATTACATTACAACAATTAATAAGTGTCGTTTGATCTTCGCTCTTCTTGTATTTTTAGCAACAAATAAATCAATCATACTTGCGTAATCTAGTTTTTTTTTTTTTGTAAAATCATTTTCAATTGATGACAATGCTAATCATTTTAAATGAGCCTTTCAGCTTTTTAATGGGTCAATTTATATTAAATTAGTTTGGGTCTTCCTTAATTTTTTTTTGGATTTAAAATATACCTAATATATTACAATAAACTATAATAGGAGGACCCTTTTTTGGGTCTATTTTCAATGAATAACAATGTTAATTTTTTTGAATGGGCCTTTCAATTTTTTAATAGATCAATTCATTTTAAATTAGTTTGGACATTCTTTAATTTTTTTTTAAACTTAAAACATACCTAATATTTTACACTAAATCATAATAGAAAGGGTCCTTTTTTTGGATCTATTTGAAGGGGCCCTAGGTCATGGCCTTGTTGCCCCATGTCTAGGGCCGGCACTGATCACATGTAACGAACGACACAAAATATTAGTATTAGTAAATTTTAAATAAGAACTCAATAAATAATGTGATTAATATTATATAAAATGTGACATCAACAAATCATATATTAATGTGAAACTTGGATGATGTTAGTTTTCTAGCTAGATTTTTAGCTTAAATTTATGTAACTAAATTTTCTTAATAACTATGTAGCGTTTGCATTAGCAGTTTATTTTTATTTTTTGTTTTGAACAAAAGTAGTTTAATTTTTTTAAAAAAGTTCACGTTAAGCATTAAAATGAGATTTTATCTGGTTGAACCTTCGAAAAATTGGAGCATATGGAGAAGGCAAGAATGCTGATTTTTCTTAATGGATATCAAGTCATTCAGATCATTGGTATGAGATGGTAGTCCAAGGCGGTAGAGATGGTAATTTAAACCCAGCCCCATGGGAACCCGACTCCCCGACCTCGATTTGAGCAGTTTTTTCCCAAAAAATATCCCCAACGGGGAGAGGATGGTATTCAAAAATTAATCCCCGATCAATTTTGGACTGGGGACGGGGTTAAGTGTCCCAGCCTCGGCCCGTCCCCGTCCCTGTTTTATCCCCGGAGTGAAATTGCTCTTTTACCCCTCTCTATATATATATAAACCAAACCTATTTTTCAGTTTCACTTCCTCTGTGTGTGTGTCTCTCTCTCTCACCGTGGCTCTCATCTCTCTCTCTCTCACTCACTGACTCAAATCTCAGTCTCGTCTCGTCTCATCTCTCTTCCTCCCTCTCCTCTCCCTCTCCCTTCGTCAGATCGTGAAGCCCTCCGTCCGTCAGATCGTGAAGCTCTCCGTCTGAACAGATTTGAAGAAGAAGAAGCCCTCCATCCGGGAAGCCTTTCGTCCGATCGTGAAGCCCTCCGTCTGAACATATCTAAAGAAGTGAAGCCCTCCCTCCGTCCGTGATGAACAATTTTTTTTGATGATTGTTGTGTATATATGTATATATATATATCTATGATTAATTTTTTTTGATGATTGTTATATATATATATCTGTTGTTGTTGATGATGTTGTGTGATTTTGTTGAACAGATTTGTTCTGTCGTCCATTAGACAGATTTTTTTTGTTTTTTTTGTTTTTTTTTGGGTTCTTGTGTGTTGAACAGATCTGTTGGGAAATTTTCGGGGTCGGGGAAACCCGATCCTCGTTAGGGGACGGGGGTGGGGGAAGTGATGGGTTCCCTGTCAGGGATCGGGGTTGGGGACGGGGATTTTTTTACCTTCAGGGATCGAGGACGGGGAGTGGCATCCCCGGCCCCGCCCCGTTGCCATTCCTAAAGGCAGTCAACAGTGGTAGTTAGAGGGGGTTATTAATAAGGATGGCCAAGATGCTAGAAGAAAAAATACATTTTTTTCTTCTTCTTAAAATTTAATAAAATTTGAAAAATATTTTCATTACCGCATTTTTTATTTTTATTATATGTGTGGAAAAGTGGATATGGAGTACTCATGCTGTCCAGACAAGCCTTAAAGTAATTTTCACATCTGCGACTTGAACTAAGAATAAGTTCCGGACCGTGGTGTCGAAATTAACACTTTGACGGTCTAGTTAGTTTCTGTAAGATGGTTGGTCTGTTTTCCTAATTTCTTGAGGTCTAAGTATTTTAACACATACCTCTTTCTTTAACATTTCTCTTCCTTTTATAGAGTTATTGTCCTCGATTTTCACTCCATGTAACTTAGCCTTTCATCATCATCTTGATAGTACCTATCTTCTTACTTTACTTCCTTGACAAGGACATTCTGGTCCAATTCGATGGGTCCATGCCGACTCTCTTGAAATATTCGACTCTTCTATTCAACGCAGGCACTTGCTATTCGGCGCTTCACGACTTTCAAGCCCAATCGAGTATTTACTCGACAAATACGCAATGCAGTGGGCTTAGACCTATTCACCCCATTTTAAACGGGCTTCTGCCTTACTCGGCCCACAATTACTCGGCTCTCATAATCTGCATTCCTATTGGTTGACTATACTACTAACGTGCTCTGCCGGAGCATAGAATGACTTTCTAGTTAAAAAAAAAAAAAAAAAAAAAAAAAGAAGGAAAAACCGCAGATCCCAGCATCAGAGCCCAGTTTGGGTGGAATTTGGATCATCGGCAGCCCTACCCGGCAGCCCCCAAAACGACGTCGTTTTGGGGTTTTTTTTTTTTTTTTTTTTTTTTCTTTTCTTCTTCTTCGTTCTTGATCCAAAACCAGAGGGGAAAACCAGAGGGGAGGGGAGGGGAGGGGAGAAGAGGGAGGAGGGAGGGGGAGGTCCGATCGTCGCCGTCGTAGCTCGTCGCCTCACGCCGGCCGTCGCAGCATAGCTCGTCGCCTCACCCCGGCCGTCGCAGCACCGCAGCACCGCCGTCTCCTCCGCCTCCGCCTCCTCCTCCTCCTCCTCCTCCTCCTCTCCCACTGGTTATGGCCCCCTCCAGTCCGGCCCACCGGCGGCTCTTCTTCCCTCCCCTCTCTCTCCTTCCCCTCCCCTCCCTCTGGTTCTGTCGAGCTCGACGAGGAAGAAGAAAAAAAATCAAAACACCCCAACAAAACGACATCGTTTTGAAGAGCTGCCGAAACGGCTGCCGAAAACGGCAGCCGATGATCCTGCTCAGTTTTTGGGTGTCCAGTATCCCCAAAAAGGATAAAAAAACCGCTTTCCCAGAAACAACTCTCTCCCTCGCGTTTCCCAGTCAAAAACTACCATCTTGTCTGTCTTTATCGGGTGTACTGATTATATTAAGTTCTCCACATGTTGTTCACCCAAACAGCCCCTAATCTCAAACTTTTTGGAGATGTCCCTCCTCCTCTTTCTCTCTCTACAACTTGCCCTCTCTTCTCTCTCCTCCTCCGCCGCCGCCCAAAACACCACCACCACCAACACTGCCGCCGCCGCCTCATGCTCTCTCAACTTCGATATTCTTCATCAGCTCCTAAAGGGCACAAAACAACCAACCCTCGATTTAAACGGCGAGTGTCAACATATCCTACAAGGTCTTCGGCTAGTCCAGTCGGAGTACCTCCGGGCCACCAACAATTTCTTGCCGCCGATCGACCAAGCCGAATCCTGTTGGGACTCCTACCAAGCCATAGTCAACGAATCCGACCCGAAATTCGATATCCGCAAGTCCTGCGGGTTCAACACCAGCTGGATCGCCGAGGGTTGCATGAACATCACGACCCGATTTGAATTCGAAGGCAATGTCTCCAAATCCTCATTGAACGCCGTCGTTTCGGCCTGTAACCAGTCCCTAGAAAACGGCTCGCCATGCGCGTCATGCACCACCAGCCTCTCCAGCCTTCAGGCCTCGTATCTGACCGGTAATTCGGTTGGAAACGTCTCCGATTGCACGGCTTACCCGTCGATTTATGCTGCCGCATTTGCTAACTATTTGGGTCCTACCGATGAAGGTACTGCGAAATGCTTGTTTTCTCTCGATTTCACTAGGTCTGATTCGAGTGGTAAGCAGCGAAAGATTGTAATTGTTGTTGGTGTGGTTTGTTGTGGACTTGTTTTGGTTCTGGGTTTTGGTGGGTTTTGGTATTTTCGGCGAAAAAGATGGAAACCGAGGCAGCAGAGGACGATTTCCAGGACCGGAACTAGTTTGGCTTCTGGGTTGGATTCAATTAGTGGAAGTACTACTTTGGTTAGGTACACATTTGATGAAATCAAGCAATCAACTAAGAATTTTTCTAGGGAAAACATAATTGGAAGTGGAGGGTATGGGAATGTGTACAAAGGGGTATTACCAGATGGGTCTGAAGTTGCATTGAAGAGATTCAAGAATTGTTCATTGGCAGGCGATGCGAGTTTCACACATGAAGTAGAGGTGATTGCCAGCGTTCGACATATGAATCTTGTGGCTTTGAGAGGGTATTGCACCGCAACGACTCCATTAGAAGGCCACCAGAGGATAATTGTGTGTGATTTGATGAAGAATGGTAGTCTTCATGATCACCTATTTGGGTTGAATGTGAATAAGCTAAGCTGGCCAATTCGCCAAAAGATTGCGCTTGGCACAGCTCATGGGTTAGCTTATTTGCACTATGGTGCTCAACCGGCTATTATTCATAGAGATATCAAAGCGAGTAATATACTTTTGGATGAGAAGTTTGAGCCCAAAGTGGCTGATTTTGGGCTTGCAAAGTTTACACCAGAGGGGATGACACATTTGAGCACTAGAGTAGCTGGGACAATGGGCTATGTGGCCCCTGAGTACGCTTTATATGGGCAGTTGACAGAGAGGAGCGATGTTTACAGCTATGGAGTAGTGTTTCTTGAGCTTTTGAGTGGGAAGAAAGCGCTTATGGCGGTTAATGAAGACCAACCCACTCTTGTGACTGAGTGGGCGTGGTCATTAGTGAGGAAAGGGAGAGCTTTAGATGTGATTGAAGATGGTATGAGAGATTTGGGTCCTCCAGAAGTTATGGAGAAGTATGTGTTGGTTGCAGTACTATGTTCTCACCCACAGTTATATGCTAGGCCGACAATGGACCAAGTTGTGAAGATTTTAGACACAGATTTACCAGTTCCATCTATCCCTGAAAGACCGATTTCTCTGATTGCGAATATTGATGATATTGAGAGAACAACGAGCAGCAGTGGTGGTGGTGGTGGTTCGAGTAATCTGTCAAGTTCTTGTGGATACCATTCATACACGGTTGAGATTGACCGGCCTTCTTCTTCTAAACAGAAACAAGGAGAGGAAATTTCAGGTGGCAGATGAAAATTGAGGTGATTCAGAGGATGGTTGGTTGGTTGGACCACTTGGAAGTCTTGAATGATTCTTTTTGCTACCAGTTGTATTGTTCATCTTTGATTCATTTGTTAATGGAGATTGTGTGGTTCCTGAATTTGGAATCCCAACTCCCACTGTAAAGTGAAATATAGGTGTATAGCCCCAGTTGATTTTATTTTTTTATTTTTACTTAAAAAGATTTAGGAAATATAGAGCATGATTTTTAGAAGTAGCTTTGTTTGGAAGGCCTTAAGGTCTTGCATTGGCGATTCTGCAAGCATATTGTTGGGTTATTCTTTCTTTGGGTGTACTATACCTTTTAGGTTATTGATTTGTTATAATCTTTTTTTGGATGTTCTTACCATTCTGTGTGTGTGTGATGCAAATCCACTGATATTGATACAAATACTTGAATATAGGTATCTATCTCTCTCAATTGAAGATATTGATGAAGGAGGTCAATCTTTCCATTGATACTGATACTAATAAAAAATGAATATAGATATCGCTATCTCTCTATATATTTGACGCAATTGAAAGAGATCCATCACGCAATACCCTCTATATATTTGACGCAATTGAATGAGATTCATTGCGCCATACCGATACTCTTGAATATATAAATATTGATATTTGACTTAGCATACAAATTGTTGAAAGATATATGTATCCAATGTGAGCTAAGCTATGGATGGTAAATATTACTTTTTGTCCTTCCCCTCCCTAAAATGTCAACTTATATCCTAATTGCAAATTCTTTATGTGGCTTCTATATAACTTGGTTTAAGCTCCAAGTAAAAAGTATATATTTTACTTGTATTCATGATGTCATGCACCTAAAATGCATATTTGGTGTGATTACTAGCCACCTGAATTATGTAATTGAAGGAAGAATTAACATGGTAAACAAGCAGGATTAAAATCTCTTTCTTCATAATCTTATTCTCGTACTTAATAATTATTTATTAATTAAAAAAAGCTGGAAAAACTGGCCCAAGAACAATTGCCAAACCAGCACCATATTCATAGGTCAAAATTAGCATGGTAGTCATGTGATAAACAGTTTTTTTTTTTAAGATTTTTTTTTTAAATATGTTATATTTTCTTGGTTGAATGCTTTAGGGGTGTACAAAAGAAGAATTGTAACTAAAGTGGTGTTTGAATCTTAGATTTGCTTAGAGAAAAGAAAAAGATGAAGAAAATATATGAACAGAAATAAAGCGGTTATTTTTCTTCTTTTGTTTAGGTTAAGAAAATGGATCGATATTTGTCCCCAAAAAAAAAAAATTTGTTTAGTTACTTGTAAAATAATTATATTTTCATTTAATTGTCTTGACAAATCTAAAACATTAAAAAAGAAAAGAAAAAAAAGAATGAGTCTATCTATAAAGGAAAAAGGAAAACCCCAAAGTTGCTGTGGCATGACAACCCATCAACTTCTTTGGTGACCCAAATTTATTTATTAAACGGAAGGCCCAAACGTGCGTATTATTATTGGGCCAGACAAATTTGTCAACTTCTTGAAAAGGCCTCTATAGTTCAATACACATTTACTCTTTTCACTAATCCTAATTGCTTATTTTTTGAAGTACTTACATATACATCTTAATAAGTGAATTTATTTTCTAATAGATCATACAGAAAAAATTTATCATAAAAAAAGTTACTAATTGCAAATTTTAGTGACAATTTATAAAAATCATGACAAAAAAAGTCACTAATTGTCAATTTTTAGCGACGTATGTAAAAAATTGTCAAAAAAAAATTATTTTTAGCGATAATTTTGTCAAGATTTATTTTTAATAGGACTTGATGGGAATTATAAGTCCAACTATTAGGACCTATGGATAGTATACCTTAAATTTTGTCCCATAGTCCTTGCCTTGTGAGTCTGACCCATCATGAGCAAAGGAAGTTGTAAAACCAACCATTCAAAGGTGCTGCTAGTTGAATCTCCAGTGAAAACAACTTTGTTTGTGAGCATTACCTTCAATGCGATTGATTCTTTCAATGATATGCAGCCTATAAGGGGACCGAAATTGGTAATCACTACGAAGCCCACCTAAACTCGATGTCTTTTTATCTAATCATATGTTTAATTGATAAAAATCAGTGAAATTAGTATATCATGATACTGTTCCTCCAACCAAATGATGATATTATTAATTTCATATCCGTCCATTCAATAGGACTTATCTCATATTATATCTTATCATAATCAAACATCATATAAATTCTCATACTGCTGCATATATAATTTCATTCTTATATTACTAATTTATTAAACGTGGGCTTATAGTTTTAAGTGAAGTCCAAATCAATGACAATAATTGAGGAGACTTTTCCAACCACACTATGTTTGCAATAAAAGCATACAGAACCAGGAGTTAATAGAGTCCAAGAAATATTTTTTGATATCCAGCAATCCTTTGATAAGATAGACAAATACCGAAGCTAGTTGAAAGCTTTTTCTCAAATAATTCATTTGCCATAATTTCTCATATAATTTCTAGCTTCTTCTTGTACAAAGGCCCCGCTTGGTAGAGCTGTGGGAAAGTGATTATTACTTATAAGTTAACAGCTTATAACTTATAATTATGAACATAAGCTGATTTTTGACTTATAAATTAAGCTTCTTCTTCCCCACTCAAAGAATAAGTTGATTTTTTACTTACAAAAAGGTATAAGCTGTATTGTTAAGTTGAACCAAACACATCAAAATAGCTTAAATTAAGCTAAAAACTGAAATAAGCTGAAAATAAGCCCTACCAAACAGGGCCAAAATATCATTACATATTTACATTAGCTATTGAAAGCATTCCAAACAACTTCCCAATTTACCACTTACCTCCCTCTCTCCTATTTTCTTCTTTTCTTTCCTCTTATCTTTTTCTAACAATGAGTTCAACTACCAATTCCCATATTCGGATTTCTGATCGTGTTGAAGAATGGTAGGTGAAGATTGCACAACACCACATAGATGCTCTAGCTTAATCTTTCTTTTCTTTTTTTGGTTTGGTAAGGCTTTGTCATATATGTCCAAACACCACATGTTAGGGACATATGGGGGGTTGATTATTTCTTGTATATTAACTTAATTCAAGATTAAACAAACCAAACTAAGACATCAAAATCGAATTTGGTCTGTTACTATTAACTTGATGAAATTCAATTGAATTTTTCTGACTTTAGAGCAACACAATTAAAACAGTAACTGCTCACCTGCATCACGACGGTGTTGAGTTGGATGCCAATCAAATCACTTCATTTCAAGAATAGCTTTGGGATACTCGGACCGCATATGCACTTTCCATCTGTTTCATGCAAGAAAGTAATCTGAGAAAATTTGCTCTAGCCATCATATATATGCATATATATTTTTTATATAGAATTTAACAAGAATAGGACAGTTTTCACTTTCTTTTTAGCATCTTCCAGCTAGGTATTTCAGATAGTCTCAGATATGACCACAGACAGAACAGCTAGCAACACACATTTCCAACTTATTTCAGCTTTTAGCTTAATTTAAGCTATTTTGATGTGTTTAGTTCAGCTTAACAATACAGCTTACAGCTTTTTGTAAGTCAAAAATCAACTTTTATTCTTTGAGTGGAGGAGGAAAAAATTAATTTATAAGTAAAAAATCAACTTATGTTTACAGTTATAAATTATAAACTGTTAAATTATAAGGTATAATCACTTTGCCACAACTTTACCAAACGGGGCCACTGTTGATCATGTTCATAAACATCATGCAGTTTGCCAGTAAGCTTGTGGATGAGGATGAGGATGAGATAAATGAGTCGGATACATGTCTAAGGCCAAGTTTGAGAAGACTAAATAAGTGCACTTTTTGACTTTTTATGAAATATGGGTTAGATTTGGGTTGGGTTTGAAGTGATGTGTTAAAAAGGTGATGTGACTTAAATAGGATAGTGACTTTTTGACTTTTTGAATTTTTTTGAGGATGCCAAACTTGGCCTAATTGTAGTAAGGAAAAAGCTATACAAACTTCTTTTTTTTTTAATTATAAAAGCTGATGCAGAATGGAGTGATATCCGGTGCACTATTTCCATCCATGAAAATGAAACCACCACGCCTTCTAACAATCAATTAAAGATACACGCATAGAAACGAATTACAAAATAAGTCACAAAAAATTCTCACAAAGGATGAGTCCCACCCATTTGTGAGTGTTATGACTGGATCTTTGATCGGTTTTTGTGCAGCTAGAAGAAGTGTTGTTTCTTCAATTACAATAAGAGTTCTAGATGAGAAGAACATATCCAAAAGCAATTGTCACTCTAACAAAAAAAGGCTTTTGGTAAAAGGCTGATTTTGTCTCCAAACATCAAATTTTCGTTACTAAAGTGATCTGTGACGAAAATTTTTTGTCATCACGTTTGTCGCCTATATATTGTCGCTGAAAGTACCTGATAACGAAAAATAGTTTTGTTGCCTATTTTTCGTTTTTGGTGATGAAATTTTTCGTCTCCAAATATTACATTTTTTATCCTCTATAACATCAATTTCGTCACTAAAATTAGATAATATTTTATTTTAATTGTTTTTGGTGACGAAATATTTCGTCACCAAATAGATTTTAGTAACGAAAGTTTTCCTCATCAAATGGATTGAGGTGACAAAAAAATTCGTAACTAAAATGAGCAGAAAAGAAAATTCTTCAATGACAAAAAACATTTTCTCACAAAATATTTCAATTTAGCGATGAAATATTGAACAAATGTGACGAAATTATTTGTTTGGTACTATATCATTAGTGACAAATTTATTCGTTATGTTTTTTGAAAACTAATAGCGACATTTTTTATTTCGTCGCTAATAATAATTTAATTTTTTAAAAATGGGAGTACTATTTTCAAATTAAATTTTTTTTTTTACAAAAAATTTCCTGTGCATTTCAATAACCTGTTCAATAAAATATCTATTACAGATCAATACAAAAATCTATTCATTTTTATAAAAATCACAATCGAATTTCAGCACTATCCACAAAAATACAATATCAACTACATGTGAATTACCAAACATGTCTCCTAATATTCACAAAAAACATATCTACTAATATCAACAAAAATATAATATCAAGTGCGGATTACCAAGCATGTCTTGTAATACCAATAAAAATATAAAATTTACAACGCAACCAAAATACAGGTAAGGTAATATGAACAAAAACACAAAATGAGCTAGCCTCTGCTCTCCAAATTACCAAACATGTTCATATCAAATCTCGAATCTGCAAAAAAAAAAAAAAAAAAAAAAAAAAAAGAATGCAAGTTAGACAATTATTATCTTATCAATTAAATATACAATTTAACATGCATTTTTCGACTTAGTTTTCAAATCGGGAGTCCCGTGCTAGTTCCGTAAGTTTTCACAACTTACATTGGTCCCTCCCGAGGTGTTCCCTGGGTCATCCCATGCCTGTTACACAATTTTGGGCCCCGATGGCCTATTTACAAGCTTAAATGTTGGAAAAATTCATTTTTGGACTTAATTTTCAAACCGGGAGTCCCGTGCTAGTTTCGCAAGTTTACACAGATTACAATGGTTGCTTCCGAGGTGATTGAGGTATTCCTCGGGCCTTCTCGTGGTTGTTTAACGATTTGGGCCCCGATGGTCTATTTACAAGCTTAAGTGTTGGGAAAGTTCATTTTTGGACTTCGTTTTCAAACCGAGAGTCCGGTGCTAGTTCTGTAAGTTTACACAAGTTACAATGGTTGCTTCCGAGGTGATTGAGTTGTTCCCCGGACCTTCTCGTGGTTTTTTAACGATTTTGGCCCCCGATGACCTATTTACAAGCTTAAGTGTTGGAAAAATTCATTTTTGAATTTAGTTTTTAAACCGGGAGTCTCGTGCTAATTCTGTAAGTTTACACAAGTTACAATGGTTGCTTCCGAGGTGATTGAGGTGTTCCCCGGGCTTTCTCGTGGTTGTTTAATGATTTTGGCCCCCGATGGCCTATTTTCAAGCTTAAGAGTTGGAAAATGTGCATTTTTTCACTTAGTTGTCACACCGGGAGTCCCGTACTAGTTCCGTAAGTTTCCACAACTTATATTGGTCTCTCCTGAGGTGTTAGGTGTGTTCTCGGGCCTTCTCATGGGTTTTTCATGATTTTAGCCCCTAGTAGCTTATTTTCAAGCCTAAGTATTGGAAAAGTGCATTTTTGAATTTAGTATGAAAAAGTATATTTTTCTACATAGTTTTCAAACCGAGAGTCCCGTCCTATATCCATGCATATATTATTCTGACTTATGAAGATGTATTAGATATTTAATTCGTTATGTTTCTTTTTATTTTTTCTTGATGTTGCATTTCCATTTAATATATATGGGTTTTCAATAATGCTACAATAAATAAACAATATACATGGGTTTTCAGTAGGTTCACCCGCAACCTCTACTGACAACCATACAACAAATATAACATATTTGGGTTTTCAGTAGGTTCACTCTCAACCTCTTAAGAGCATTATGGGTTTTCAGTAGGCTCACCTTTAACCTCCTCCACGTGTATGATTGTGTACATGTGTGTGTGTATATATATATATATATTAATGTGTAGAAGATACCTGCTCGTCAATTCCTATCTCAGGCCTTTGAAAAGAGTCACCTTAAGATCAAACTCGATTACAAGATCCACAAAACCTGAGGCCAAAACATTCAAAGAAAAACACAGCATAACTAATAAGTATTCAAAGAAAAACATTCACCTAAACGTAATTATATTTAACATGAAGATTACACAAAAGTTATAGCTGTAACAGATCATTCACCTTTCCAAACTGTTGTTTCCTATCCGCACAAACCGCAAACCGCATTGCGGGCGGTTGCGGGTTGACTTTTCCCCAAACCGCATAGATGCGGGCGGGTCCAAACCGAACCGTAAACCGTTCTAAACCGAACCACGGACACTGCTAATACAAGTGCACCGCTACATAGGATAGAGGCTTAATCTTATCATCATGTAATATAAATAATTACAGAAAGGAAGACAAATAAAGTAAAAGAGACAGTAAATACAAGCAACCAAAAAACAATACAAGCAGCCAAATAACAACCAAAAGAGATACAAGCGGCCAATCACCAAAACCATCCCCTGCATTCCCAAAATCTAATCTGAAGATTTGATCCAAAGCAAGAAAAAACATGGCAATCATGCCAACTTCTTCAGCAGAACAAACTAATCATATTCCCAAGCACCCAACTCAAACTCATCTACCTAACCCAACGGACTTCCTTACCTGCTGTAGATTTGCCACAAAGTTATGCACAGAGTAAAACCTGCCCAGGGAGTGAGTCTTCATCCAAATTGACCCAAAGAATAGCAGAGCTTTTCATATCTAGCAACTAGCAGCAATAACAGCAGCTAGCAGCACTTCATTTCTGTAGCAGCACCAGATTTTCTGCAGCAACAACTAGCAACTAACAGCAGCTGCAGCACTCCAAAAATAGCAGCAGCACTCCAAAAACACCTAGCAACTTACAACAACAACAAAAAAAAAACAACGCCCAATTAGTACACATTAATGTGTGTTTTTGAAAATATGTGATTTATTTCATTTACTTGAACAGCCATGTTAAATCAATAATGATAGTTAGGTTTTGAGATATGTTAAGCTTGTGTCTCAGAACGCGAGTGCTTTTCCTCTAGTAGGAAAACACTAGAAATCTTTATTTTCCTTTAAATTATCCTTTAGATTGACCTTCTATGAAGCAAGAAGAGGATCAAAATAAATATTGCTTCAGAACCAAGTCTTGTGAAAAATAGAGCCAAGTCATACCAAAGATGGGCCAATGTTGTAGTTGATAGGACAACAAAACTCAATTCGTTAATCACAGAAAACTTGAGGGAAATTTGCATATTAGAATTGTCAACTACTTATATGTGGCAAATGAAAATCTTCTACCATTCTAGTTTAGGGTTCTGCCTTAATTCATTAAAAATATGGAATCGATAGATGAGAAGAAATAAAGAAAAAAGATACAATGTGGATGATACCTTGATAGCTATAATTTGCTCTGGCATCGGAGCAACTGGTTTAGGTGCTTGCTCTTCCTTTGGAACCTCTGGGGTACTTGGAGCCTCACTAGGTACAAATGTTTTTGCAGATTCCTTTTTAGCTTGTTCTTCAGCTTCTTCTGATGAAAATAGATTTTTTTGCCTCAATTTGCTCCTACATAGGAAAAATAAAACATAATTTCAAGTTTAGGCCTAACGTGAACCCAGCCCGTATCCACACCCCACCTGTAGTATGATGGAAGAAAAGGTGTTGTTATACTAATGTCGGAGGTTGGCAATGTTGATTGCAAAAAGGAAGGTGGTTGTGGGGGTTGGCTATTATTAGAATATCACAAATTAGATTTAAGTTTTTACAGATATTAGTAGGGACATTGTGATAGTGAAAGTGACCATAGCACCTTGATTCAAGCCTAGATTAAAGGGATGTCACCATTGTATTCAAGTTGGACTTGTCCCTTAGCGCTCACAAACGTGGTTCACTTGTGAAAGGGTTTAGTTTATATATAGGCCTAGACCTAATTGGAGACAAGTTCAATCTATAAATCAAAAAACTAAGTGTTTTCCTTTCAAGAAATTTTTATTATATAAAAATAGAGAAAGTGAAAGGTCAAAAGTTCTTAGCACTTGGTTCCCAACTCAAAACACATATCTTTTAATTTTGTTTTTACATAAATTTTTCTTCCTTTCTATATACTCCATCAGAATAATAAATGGGGCATCACCTCCGCGAATGTGCATTCTTTCCTCAGCCATACATTCATCGACTGTGTGCTCACAATACTGCCATAATCCATGAATGACATAACAGAGTGTCAGTGCTGGATTAGGCTACACATAATACCATGGAGGAAGAAGAAATGATAAGGAAGACAGTATATGTTGATTCACCATTTATAGTTTCCCTTAGCACATCTACATTTCTATGGAAAAGTTCACTTCCTGCTAATTTGGTGACAGACCATCAGTACTTTGTCCCAAGCAGTTATCACCATGAAACATGCTTCCTTACATAAATTCTTGGGTACAAGGATGCCATAAAAAAGGAAGGCTAACAAGACCACCTCCAATCATGCAACAATTTATATCTTGAACCCCAGGACAAAAAGTCATAAACATCTTAATATGCTTAGAAATTAGAATCCTATGGGTAGAAATGTTTCAAAAAAGAAAAAAGAAAAAAAAAAGATTGGAATTATTTCAGTAGAAGAATGCTAACACATTATACTGAAGATCAGTACTGCCACCCATTAAATTATGAAGCATATTAGTCAGATACCATTTATCCCTAAAATCTGCAATAAGGGTGTTAATTAAACTACATGGCAGATTTCCAACCCTTGAATCCCACAATTCATTATTAATCAACATGACAATTTTGCATCAGCTTGTCATTATCTACTAATACAAGAAGCCAAGAATGTTAACACTACTTTTGGATTTCTGAAAGGATTAATGCACTTGTTGACAATGTGACACAAGATTAGAACTGCATCTGCGAAAGACACTATTTTTGGATCACCCTCACAAAACTTTATTTCTTGTTTTTAATTAAATGTCAATTTTGTTTCATGTGACAAAGTATTGTGCATATTTTAATGAATACCTCCAACTTCAAAATATATTAGCTATTGTTCTTAAACAATCCAGTCAAATATCTTAATCGCAACATGACCTAGCAATCTCCAAACACCAGTGTTATAGTCTTTCCCACATTCACAAACTAACTTCCTAAACCTTACACAATTCCATCTCACCCTCTCACTGTTCACTACCAACATGTACATTCAAAGTTGAACAAAAACTAATAAATAAGAAAGTATTAAGTTGTTAAGAAAACAAATAAAAAGAAAAAAAAAATTCAAAATTCATTGCATACTTGAACTTTGTTATTTTTATTTTTAGCAAATAAACAAAACCCAATTCAAATGATTTACATATATATATATATATACATATAATACATATGTCCCCGGCAAAGAATCCAAAACCCAATTCAATTAATTTTCCAATTTGCTTAAGAAATAAACATATATAAATTCATGGAACTTATGGTTTTTATCCTAGTAACAAATAGAAAACCCAATTCAATTCACTTCTGTATCTGATATAAACAAACAATATACCCATTGAAACTTATCTTTTTGATTGACAGCAAAGAATACAAAACATGACTACCTCATTGGAACTCCTTTATTTCAATTCCATTTCTTTCAAGGTTGAAGAAGTTTTATATTTAGAGCTTCCCAATATATTAAGTTGGTGTTCTCAAGGGTTTCTAGGTGATCTCCATGTTGACATACCAGCTCCAACATATGATCTGGTCCATTCAAAACAATGCAGGAGAGAGAGGATGTAATTGGTTCATTCAAAACAGATGATCTCTATGTTTTCAAAGATTCCAAAAAAAAAAGAAAATAAAAAGAAAATAAAAAAAAGAAGAGAATATATATTGCTTTGTTTTTCTCAATTAAAATTGGTAGCTAGCTGCTTTCAATGTAATTGCTCTGTTTTTCCAATCTTAGGAACATGATTTGACCAAAGTATATATATCGACCATTATAGTTTTACCATAACAATTAACAACATTATCAGTCATTTAATTGAAAACATAACAAGTAGATTATCACAATTCCAAAACCCCATCTAAAACTCAACCCATTTCCACCAAATCCATAACCCCCACCATCTCTCTCTTTTTCTCTAATTAACATGAGAGCTGAGAGATCACTGGGAACTACTACCTATAAGGCTGGTTGTTTGTGTATCCTAGTTTTGAAGATAATGCTTTATCAATGAATTCTAGAATTGAGCTGGAAGAAATTGCAAAGTTTCTATACTGTTAGATGGAAGTGTGATGTCCTCCTTTGACTAATGTATTGAAATTTTTGAACTCTCACAGGCGCATCTTCAGGTTCCTAAAGTGCTTCCCCAAGAGATCAAATCTCTTGACAGCTTAGATATAAAGCTGCTCTATAACTATGCTCTGGACATCTTCTCAAAGCAACACAAGCAAATGATGCGGAAATCAGTGAATGCCCATATTTTCCAAAGCTTGTTTATGGTGTCTTACTAGTTTTGTTTTGTGCATTGCAATTCATCATATTTTAAAAGATAAAACAAAAAATTATGGCATGCAATATTTGTCACATTGTTTATGGATTCTCTTTAAAAGTAAAATTTTTTGGGAGAATAGTGACTCTTTCTGGGTTTCTTTCTAGTTTCATACACAGCAACAAAAAAAATTCAACATTTTGGGAGATCCGTCTTTGCCACCGCAGCAGAAGAGGAAGAGAAGAGAGAGAAAAAGATAATAGTAACAGAGAAAAACAAACAGAGAAGCAGCAGAGAGAGAGAGAGTCTGAGTAAATACTCACCGGATTTGTGTCCTCCGCTGTTCACCACTGCGATTGCTGGACAGAGAGAGTCTGAAAGATGCCCAAGCCAGCGACACCGAAAAGTGGTTCAAAACCAGCGACACCCAAAAGAGAGAGAGGAGAACCGAAAGGAAACCCTTCCGTTCATAGCCCTAAGATTTGTGAATGAGTGCTATATTTGGGTTAAGAGAATGGATTTGGTGAGGAATAGATTTTTGTCTCCAAAACATAAAATTATGTAATTTTATATATTGAAGTATTTGGTGACAAATATTTATCCTCACTAATAATATTTTTTAATAGAGTCGAAATTTTTTTGTCACTAATTTGGTGACATAATTCCCCCCAAATTTTTCAATGGCAGAAAAAAATTTTGGTGACGAAAAAAATAAAAATTATGACAAAAAATAATTTCGTCACTATATCGATCCTAGTTTTTGACCCGATTTTTATGGCGTTCTGGACTCGAGTCTTGTGGTTTAATGTTGTTGTTTATGTATTTTCCTCTTCTTATCCTTTGAATTTGGGTTTTTGAATGTCTTGGGCATGTTTAGAATAGGTTGCCTGCTACTTGGCTTAGAACCTCGTTGCCTAGAATTTTGATCTTCCGCTCGAGCGGGCCTTCTTGCGCTCAAGCGGAGTTTGCAATCATTCAGTACTTTGTGCGTCTGCAAAAATACTACATAAGTGTTTTTTACGCTCGAGCGGAGTTTCTTACGCTCGAGCGGCCCCTCTGGCGCTCGAGTAACTGTCTGAAGTCTATAAAATACTAGGCGAGTGTATTCTATGCTCGAGTGGGTCTCATTGCGCTCGAGCGGGTAGTGCCATGCTGTTGTGTCTTGGCGCTCGAGCGGCCTTTATTGCACTCGAGCGGGTCGAATTTCTGTATCTGACGCGCTCGAGCGTCAAACTCTCTGCTCGAGCAAACTATGCGAATATCAGATTGCGAAAGTGACTTTTTAAATCACTTTTTCTGTCCTTTCTCTCTCTAAAACTTTTCAAAACCCTAAGTTGAGAGCCTCTCTCTCTAAAATACTCTCTCTCTCTACATTTTGACCTAGATCTAGTGATCTCTTCACCCTCCTTCCTTTGATAAAAAGATTGAGCTCTTCAAAATCTCCATTTTCAACCGAGTAAAAGTTGGTTTCATCACTTTTGAAGTTTATCTCGTGCTTGGCTCTTCTGCCTTGGGCTTTTACACTTGAGGTAGGGTGTAACAAGCCCGCGGGGGACCTCGCTGCAGCTCGGACTCGATTTAGCTCGGACTCGATTTGTAGTTACGGTTCTAAGTCTGAACCAAAGAGTCCAAATCCGGCAAATCGTTTTGAGAAAACAGATTTTTGAAAGAAGTGCCAAACATGGACTGCTTTGCCAGATACAGAGTTGCCACCTAAATATTTTATTTTGGGAAATTTAGGAAACCCTGACTCTGTGCCAAAAGGCCACGTGTCCGTCATCACCAAAGTTGCCTCGGCTCGGGAACTTGGGTACGATTGGGGAAGGTCACTTCGTGAGCACCCCCGCTCGCCCGGTCATAGACCGGCCTCTACTAACCATGATATCTATTTTTGAAAACATTGTATGTTCTTATTCCGGTTATTAGTCTAGGTTACTATGTGATGCGCACAGCATACAAGTATAGACTGGATCGCCTGAATTAGAACAAAACATTTCATGTTTGCTTTTGAAAATGGTTTGCTACCCGCAGGTAGGCTTGAAACATTTGATGATTTATTCCAATTCAGATAACCCAACCTTCACCCACAGGCACTCAGGCAGTTATATCAGATAAGCACATAGCCTCATGGTAAGCATGCTATCATGGCATTCACTCACACGCATGCAAGGATGCTAAAGCATAAATAAAACTTAACCAGTACTCCAAGCCAAAATAGAAACTCATTAGAAATCATGCATTGCATCCTAAGATACAGAAAGTGCCTATGCAACACACATGCAAAATGCACTATAGCAGGCTTCGGCTATTCTTAAGATGATATGAAATGCTACAATATCATTGTATTTCGATTTAGAATAAAAAAAAATTACAATGCAGTTAGTATGATGCGCCCGACGCCCGGTGCATGCAATACAGATGAATGTTGCCGACATGCTGTCATACTGTAGGCTAATTTAAACAGCCCTAAATCTAACCATCAAAAGCGGATAAATAAAAGGGAGAAAGACGTGGGGTTGGAAGACATAGCAACACACACACGCACACTTATTACAGTTGTGCCCTCGCGCAGAGGGTCGAATAAATAATACAGTCCCAAATGAAGAATATCACAGTCCCGAATAAATACAGTTCCAAATAATGTACAAATTTCTAATTATTTAAGAAATTAACTAAGAAAGCCGGTAAAACTGGCATGCAAGCCAGGGAACTGCCTTGCTTCTGATGTGATAATGGCATGTCCGGGGTTGTCTTGCGGCGGTAAATCCACCGGCATGCCACAATTTAGCCTCCTGTTTAGGCAGTTAACCTTGGAAAAGCGTGCTGAGCTCCGAAAAGTTGCCTGCATTTTCATTTGCTGCACACAGAGAGCAGGGAAAAGGGGGCATCAACGCAATGTATTTTCACAAATATTATGCAGTACCTCGATCCTCGTTGCCACCAAATCACGGCATTTACCGAGGCATTGATGGCGAGGATCGAAAATGCACAAATTCCAATATAGGATGGGAATGCACAGGAAAAAAACACAATAAAGACCCTTAAACTCCATCATGGATGATTCGGAGTGTGCGGTGACTTTGGAATTGAGACACATTCCCGTCACGTTCGGAGTACGAAATGCAACCTCTTTCCCTCGTGCCGGCTAAACCCTATTCGAACACGATGCAATATGCATGATATGCAATGAAGATGAACTAAGATACAATCCTAACATACACCAATGCTATGGAATGACATGCCTTGAAATGCGTGCAACGGGCACGCAAACTGAGAAAATGAACAGAATGCAAATTAAAGATACAACCTAGTATGCACTATGTTTGGTCGAAAATGAGATGCTCAAAATGCGTGCTACACGGGCACCGCAGAACCAAAAGGAAAAATACAGAATGCAATCTAAGATACAACCTAAGTATCGAGCTGATGTTGTGAAAATGAGATACCCTCGAAAATGCGTGCAGCACGGGCAGCAAACGAGGGCGATTGATCGAGAATGCAATCTAAGAATACAACGCTAGATGCACTATGCTGTGAAAATGAGATGCCTCTCGAAATGCAATGCACACGGGCACGCAAACCGAGAAAATGAGACAGAATAGGCAATCTAAGATACAACCTAGTATGCACTATTGCTGTGAAAATGAGATACATCAAATCGTGCCACGCCGGGCAACGCAAATCGAGGCGATGACAGAATGCAGTCTAAGATCGACCAACCTAGTAATGCACTATGCTGTGAAAATGAGATATCTCGAAATACTCGTGCACACCGGGCAGCGCAAACCGAGGGCGATGTAAATAATGCAATGCCAAGTGATTAAAATGCATGGAAAATGTAACATGGGCTTAACTTAAACATCGAGAGGCCGTCAGCCTAACTCACATATAGAGGGCCGGTAGAGAATGAAAATGAAGTGCCGCTTCGAAGTGCGTGCACCACGGGCACGCATAACGAGGCAATGGTATATGCAATGCAATATGGCAAAAATGGCATATAAGAATGGCAACATGGGACTTATACCTACAATGAGAGAGCCTCAGTCAACACTCACATAAGAGGCCGGTGAGAATGAAAATGAGGCGCCTCGAAATGCATCGCATTCACGGCACGCAAACCGAGGCGATGATTAGAAATTAGCGATGCATATACATGAAAATCATTGATAGTGGGGCTTATACTAACATGAGTGGCTCAGCCACTACCAAATAGGATGCCCGAAGGAGAAATGAGGCGCCTCGAAATGCGGTGCACACGGGCACGCAAACCGAGCAAATGGCAAATAGCCAATGCAAATGACCATGAAATGGAAAGCAATCACTAATAGAATTTCGCAACTCAAAATAATGGGGGAAAACAGTCCGAATGAGGCGAAATGACAAACTAAAGCATGGAATTGTCCCCGAAATGCGAATTTAGGCACCCGAAATTGGCTATAGCTATGGCCAAACATGCACACTATGGACATGGTAATTCAAATAGACAGAAGTAGGGCAGTCCAAAAGGACTTTCACACAGTTACTATAACATGCAAACAGCAGCGTAGGGTAGGCAAAAAATGCACAAGAATAGGTGGCGCAAGAGAAGCGGGTATAGAAGCAAGTGAGCTATAAGGAAAAATCCAAACTAAAATTTCCTTCTAACACATTGGAGAAGGACCAAAATATGAATGTTTCAGTATATTCTGGAAAACCTCAAATCAATATAACAAACATGCTAAAAAAAGGCACAAGATTGAGGCTCAAAAGGTGCTATAACATGAAAGTATTACAAAATAATCAACCAAAAGAAAAAACTGTTAATGGAAACATGAAGTATAGGCCAAACTAAGACCATCGTCTAGGCCTGTATATATGGGAAAGAACTAAATAAGCATGGTAAGGGCTAACAAAACATGCAAGAATGGGGAATAAAAGAGAGATATACACATGAGAGTGGCATAATGATGTCCAAACCATGCAAAAGGGACCCTAACTGAAACATGAAGAATGGCCAAAATAAGCCACTTTTTAAGAACTGTAAAAATGGCCAAAGAACAAAAGCATGGTGGCTGCCAATTGCATGCAAAATGGGACCAAAGAGAGTATAAAGGTAAGTACAAGACATGGAGTCCCAAATTGGTGTTGAGGCCCTTTCCTTCAATGTTGAAAGAGGGGGCTCAAACTAAGCCAATATCAGTTTACAGACTGCTCAAGAAAGCAGTATAAAATCATGGGCCAAAAATAGCATGCAAGCATTAAATGACATTATAAGAGGAATCAATGAAGGCAAGTCATCATGGAGGGCTTCAAAAGGGTTGAGCGCTTAAATGAAAAAGTGATAATGAACTCAAAAGAGGTCCACGTTTCAGTTGAGGCCGGCGCTTGAAACAAAAAGCATATATGGCTTTACAATGGATCAAGAAAAAGTGGTCAACAGAGGAGCAAATGTTACTGCACCCTTGAACACTAATGCTTTTTGTTGCTTCTTGTACCAATTGCAGCTCCTTTAGGGCCTTTGAGAAGCTCTTCCATGTTTGCTGGAAATGAAAGTGG